GGCTCCACCACGACTTTTCGAAGCCTGCAATCTGTGAATCTGAGGGACTGGATTCCCTGAGAGTCGACAAACGGGTGCGACGGTGGGAGTTTTAAATCCTCCCACCGGGAAGCTTGATGCTGTGCTTTCGCCCACGGGTCGAAAACTGTGAGCGGGTCAACCGCTGACTTAAGGCTGCATCGGCAGGCTGCATCGTTGCGTCAGGAGGCTCTGGGACCCCAGCCGCTAGGTACTCCGAAGTAGCTGGCTTGTAGAGAATGCGATGCATGAATGTTGACCTGACTGCATAGGCAAGCTTGCGAAGTGATGTGTCTTCGGTGCTATCGGCCCAAGCTTCATTGGCATGGTCAAGGATTGAACTGGTCACCTGGGCAAATTGCGATTGCTCTAGGGCGTGAATGGGTTGCACAGCGACTTCAGGGATGGGGATACGAAAGCGGTCAAAGATACGCTTCAACAAAGCCCATCCACACATGCCAACAGGAGTGAGCACATCGGACACCACGTGTGTGATATTGGCCGGGTGTATCGAAAAGATTCACCAAATGAGAGTGCAATGGCCCGTGGGTCAGCTCCAGTCGGCAGCGCATTTGCAAACAGAACAAACAAAGACTGTCCATGCCGAAAGATGTCACACTGAACCCAATGGCTGTGAACCCGCAAAGGAACAATGATCTCAGTGAAGCCAGCCAAAGGGGTTTGGGCTCCGGTGATTGATTTGCAAGTGGTTGTCTGCATGTCCCAAAGAAGGGGGGTGACAATGAGCGTGTGCGAAGCATAAGCGCGAACAATGTCCAATGCACAGTCTAGTTCATCACTGGCTGCCCAAGTTGGCTCACATCTGAAGTCTTCGAAGCGGCGGTTGAGGTAGTCAAGCAGGAATGGCGGAGTTTCTCCCGAGAAGGATGACAACGTGCTTGCTCTTGTTTCAGGATTGACCTCACTTGAATGCACATTGGTCGAAAGCGGAATGGACACCGCAGAAGAAGCCCCTGTTGTCGTCCTGGCAAGGTAAACCAGGAACTTGAGTCGGAGTCTAGAGGCAAAGCGAAGGAGGTGCACATCTGCCTCTGCAGCTTTCCAATCCTCTTGGCTGGCCTCAATGGCAATATGGATGGCTTGCATCTTGGCAGGAGGAACCTCTGACGCATCGATGGGATCGGTTGAGTCATCTTCTGGGAGCATGGCACACCATCTTTGCAGGAGAATCCATCCACACATATTGTATTTCTGTTCTGGCCAGACTTCCGAAACATTGAGTCGGGAGGGATTGACATCAAAGACTACAGCAAGGATGGTACACAAGCGATTGTGCAGTTCCGGAGGGACCTGAACGAAAACGAGCTGAATGGTCTCGGCGAGTCGCATCACCTCAACACCAGTCCAGTGGTTGTCGATCAACAACAATGCAGGATGGAAATAGAATTGTTTGGGAACTCGATGGGAGTACCTTCACTGGATGTCAGCTCGTTGATTCTGGTGTCCCAAAAGACTGGTGGCAGAAAAGCGATGTGGGGTGTCTGCCAATTGAAGATGGTTGTATGGTGCCAAACTTCATCTGACGCCAGCCACCCATTGGTATTGCATGCGAACTCGCACCGCTCAGCAAAAGTGGCTCCAGGGAGGAGCACGATCCTTTTTCTGCACAAGTCATGAATTAACACCACCCGCTCTGACAACGCTGCCTTGGATCACAAAGACATCACCGTCTGTCACATTGCATGGTTCTGCAACTGGAAAGCCATTGTGAAGTGCACCTGCCAATCTGGTAGGATCACCTGGCACAACCTCGAAGATGGAAGTTCCATCCGGCTGAATTGTCTCGCGGAGGACACACGGCACTTGAGCAAACTGGGCTTGGTCACTGCTGCGTACAATGAACCCTGGAATGGCCCTTTGCCAGCGAAAATTCTTGTGGATCGGAATGACAATGCATTTCGTGGGTGGGATCAAGCATTCGAACGCAGTCTTCAGCCGGGCTTGAAAATGATCATCCCCTCCATCAAATGGTGTGAAAGCCCAAAAGTTCCTCTCTGCCCAAATGACGAACGTGCTACCTGGTGCCAAAGTGGTGCAATTCAAGTTCTCAAGGGTTTCAATGGTCTGCACAAAACGAAGCTCCTCGATTCCCAGAGGAAGACTGAGGGCTTGGACAAGTGAGGGATCAAGCTGTTGGGCCTCGGATTCACTGTGGTTCACTGTGGGTGATGGCGGTTGATGCTCCCGTCCGTCCCAAGCTCCTACTGTGCACAAGTGGTACCCACCTAGGTAGAGTTCGAACTCAGCCGACTGATGGAGGGATGCGAGGACCAGGTCGGTCGGCAGTGGGTGCGCTGAAACATGTTCAACTCGGATCTCCATCATTTGGTGGAACTGAAGGCGAAAAAGCATGGCGGCAAATTCCCTAAAGTTCATGTGGTTGTTGACTTCAACTGGATACATGGTGTCCAGGAAGTTGACTAGGACGTTCGGGTCATGGACATGGAAGACCGGCTTTGGGAGGCTCATGACGAACTGGACGACATTGCGAATCCAGATGTGGTCACCTGACACATCAAGGACCGTTACATCTGCATGGATTCTACTTAGCCAACACTTACGAATGGATTCCTGGAGCGGAATCTGCATGCTTGTGATCGAGGACAACGCCAAAATGAAGCACACAAGGGCCTGTGGGACACTAATGGCGTTGCCGATTTGGCGAAATGCTGTTGCAATGTCACTCGGAAATGCGATGTCGGTCACAGAGCCAAGCAGCGCAACGAACTTGACTGGGTCGATGAAGAGGAATTCGTTGTTGACCTCAAGGATGCTGGCGAAAATTCCTCTCTTCTCTAGATGGCTGCGGTCGAGCTTGTGTTGTTGCGTGTATGACGAACACAGTGTGGGCAAAGGCTCTGAAGTGGACGGGATGCGTGTCCTGATGACCTGTAGAGTCGAATCAGTCGATTGGACCCGAGCTCTCTTCCCTGGCGGAAGCATGTGCAAATCCCCGTACTGAGAGAACTGGTCGGGCGACAAACGCAACTGCTGCAGGACCAGCTGCGGGAGTGAAAATCGATATCGATCATCGTTCCAGCTCACGATTGGCGGCACGCAGAGGCGGATGAGTCGATTGACCTGAACCGCCGGGATGTCACACCTAACCCATATTGAAAGCCACCTGGTTCGGTGGTGGTTGGCCAGCAAGTGATAGGGGAGGAGTTGTTCCCAAACTTGTTTGAATCCCAAATGGTTCATGAGAGCTCCAAAAACCGGAAAGTGGTGGTGCGACTTAATGGCGTCAGCACACTCAAACATGGCTACAATGGGCTGTGTTGCAAACACTTGTTCAATCGCCTCAAGCAGCGCAACTCCATGTGGCGAATCAAATCCGCCGCCTTTGCCTCCGAGCGACCACGACACACACGGAGGGGAGATCGTGCAGATCATGTTGTAAGGCATGCGGAGAGCGTGCAACACCGTCAAATCAGCAATTGGGGCTTCGATGATGATCTTCTCCCGGACCGCGTATTCGGCACTTGGAACAAGTGGAGCTTTGTCGACCGTGACTCCGTGGTTGACACTGCATGTCCTAACAACATGTGCATCCCAGTCCACGTAGACCTGGCGGCCGATGACGAAGCCTTGATTTGAGGCTTGAAGCCACTCCGCAGCTTGAGACCAGCCGCCAAATCCTCCAGCAAACATGTGGTGAATTGCCCAATGTAGCTCCGGGGCCAACTGAGGGACATGGGTCACCGATGCTCCAGGCCTGAATTCAACAGTCATGGATTCGACGGAGAAGTGGCGCGCAACGCCAATGCAGATGATCCTTTCACCACTGCAGATCAACGGATACCGGTTGTCGAGGCCCTCGAGGCGAACTTTGATGTCCCGTTTGGTGTCCGTCCAGCGGATACCTTCCTTGGAGTGAAAGGTGCCCACCTGGCCTATGATCCAATCGTGGGAAACTTCACAAACCTCGATGGCGAACATCTTCCGAAACCCAGATTCCAGTGCCATGAATCATCAGGAAACTTGAGGAACCGCAGCGCCAGGCTAGTGTCCAGCACTTCATCCCTCAAGGACGCTCCCCAAGGGAAACCGGCCGAGGAACACATGGCTCTAAGTCGCGCGCAGCTACGAAGATCAACGGAACCGGATGGACACACTGGGGGGTGTCCTTTTTAGACACCGCACCCTGTGTGGCCACAGCGGCACGGTCCCGGGGTCCTAGGTCCTCCCTGAGGCCAAGGCCTTCGGAGCCAGAAGCCTATATGGAGGTTCTTATTCATCGAGAGTCAACATTGTGAACATTTGTGCATGAACATCTATTTACCATCTACCAACTGTCTTGGCTTTCACTGGCGGTACGGGCCAGTAGTACGTCCTGTGATGTTGGGACTTGCAACAGCACGGCACTGCGCTTTAGCATTCTTTGGAACATCTATATAACATGAATCATTAATAAGCACCTGTTCATACATGCCTGTTCCACATTTGTGTGGTCGTCCTAGTGCTCTTATTGCCTCCGAGCAATAAGGCTGAGGGGCAGTCGCAGTTCTTTTTTTTCCCCAAATTAACACGTGGATCTGTGATAAACAGCGCTCTTATGGAAGAGTTGCTATGTTTGATTGCAAGTTTTTCGTCCCACCAGACAAAGCAAAGAACATGCTCTACATCTATTTAAGGGGCGCCTACAAAGACATCGGAATTTACAGTGTCTTTTGGGTCCTACTGATCCTACTGCAACAAAACTTGTTAAATGCACCAGCGGAATAGTTGCTGAGTCCAGGGGAACGCGGGGACCCCAACAGCTTTCGCCTACGGGCACGCACGGGAAGAGCCGAGCTTAATTACGGGGTTTGGGGGGCTCCAAGTTGGTTACAACTACGAATTCGAGGAATGCAGAACCCCCCAGACTGGACTTGACTAGCCGAGCCGTGCACGGAGAATTTGAAGGTTCTTCAGTTACTTCCCTTCCCAGTTCGCCTTTTATCCATCCATCCTTCTCTCAGGTCACCTTTCGGCAAAGAGAGCCGTGACTGGGACGCACACTTTCGTGACTCGTGTTCCGGAACCCGACTGGTGAACAGCCACTAAGACTGAAACACAAGCACAATCTGGTGAACAAAAAGACATCGCACGATCTGCTGGCACACCAATGAGGACGTCCGGTCCCAGGTTCCGAGGGTGGAGGGTGCGGATCTTCGGTCCCAGGATCCGGATCTTTGGTCGGGCGGGGCCCGTGGCAAAAACCACCATTTTTGATGGCCATGTCACGGATCGCCGCCGCGGCGATCATCCGTCCGATGGCGACATGGTCGGCTTCCGAACCGAGGAAGCCGATAAGCATGCCAGATCTGACCGGCGACGGTGCGATGTCGTTGGTAGACAGCCTTTTTCAAGGCACTGTGCAAGCAATCTGACCATGTGTCATCATGTGTATTTGATTTCTCTAGATGAGAAAACACATTCAATCAGGTATCACTATGATAAACATCACCCGAGATCTCTGGTTGCTTTCAAGCTCTGATCTGTTGAGCCACCTTGTAGACTCCAGCGAAAACGTTCCGTACCGCACATCACGATGTTGCGGCATCTGCGCTTACTGCGCTGCGCAGTCGATGGTCTACCGGTGGCCGTAGGACTAGGATTGGGGCTGTCACGACTGGGGCGGTCGTCGCGACTCTGGACATCTTCAACACGGTGAGCCGCATGGAATCAAAGAACAGTACCATGGTACATGTGGAGGATGAAACGGCGGTCATCATGCAACTGGAGGTGCTCCCTGCCAAGATGTCCAGACTGCCACGCGACCATGCGGTGGTCAACTGCCAGCTGTGTCGCTATGGCCGATGAAGGTGATGAGAAATCCAAGATAGAGGTCAGATGCCCAAACAATCCACGCCCAGACGGACTGGAAGAGTTACCTACAGTATATAATAGAATGGATGGGTCAGACATGGCCAAGATCCACGATGGCTGCTCCATACAGTGTATGTACCTCTGTGCTTTTCTGCAAGTTGCTTCCCACATGTTGTTGAGAGCATGTTGAGGGACTATGAGGAACTTTCTGAGCACTTTTTGCTCACTCTCACCTCCATTTTTGCACAGAATATCGAGAGGTCACAGAATGTCGAGTAAGGTTCTAAGCCGTTATAACCCTAATTTGGATGATCGGTTGATTGCAATGTATCAGGCCATGGCTTTTCCCAAACAAGGCGGATTTGCAACGACATACTGGTCTGGCAGGGAAAACCGCAGCATGTCCGCGCGAAGATTCCCCTTGCGGCGATCGCCATGTGGGGGCCTTGGCGATGCCAAGATCCGAATGCGGTTGATGTGCATTTCTTGGGCCGCTTCCGGAGCCGCGAAACCTCGGGCGATCTCTTTGGTGAAGACATTTGCCCAACTGGGCTCAATCGTCGAACCTGCCCAACTTGGCGTGTTTTCGCACCCCAGTTCCGGATGGATAAGCTCGAGAAAAGCGCTGATCCGGGTCACAGCCAGGGAGCATTTGGGACACGACCTCGGAGTATATGCAGTTACATATATGTGTATATCGTCTGTATAATTAGATAGCATTTGGGACATGGGGCTGTGGGTTCAATTCTGGGTATCTCTGAGTACCTCAAAGCAGGGTAGGCAACATTTTTCAAGAACCTCATTCGCCGGTTTTCGACTTGGAGCCCGCGGTTCCGAGCGCCAGTGTCAGTTTTAGGTAGCTTGCCAAACCCTCAGAGAACTTTGCTACTGTTATCACTATTCTTGAAACCATTGGTGTTTCCTTCAAGCATTACAACCATGATGACATGGTGGCCAGGCGCTTGTGGGTATACTCTGCTGGACGGCTAGACGCCGACGCAGCACTCACCGCAACCACAGCGGCTCCCAGAATGGAGAGCCGCAGCTTTGCATCCAGTGCTGTGATCCCGAGCAGTGAAGTGCAAATTTTCATTGGGCAAAAGGCCGCATTTGATGAAGCGCCACTTGGGGTGTGAAACACACCCGCACCTAGACCGAAACCCTTTCATCAGCACTTCGACAGCAAGGACACACGAAAACGAACACACACACACACACACACACTTGGGAACCCACACATATGCATATGCACGCAGGCAAGGGAGGCACCATTCAGGGGCCATGTGTTTTTGCACTATATTGTATATGTTTCATTATGTTTCATCATTTTGCAGATACCCAGGTATCATTGTGAGGATAGCATGAAAGCAATGGAGGTGACAGAGCACGACTTGGTGAATAGTCGCAAACTCACCGATCTTCTAGTCTAGTGTTGCGCCCAGACTGATGCCGCAGACAACAACAGTTTGGAGAGCGCATGCCCTGCAAGCGAGCGCATGAAGAGTGGAGCCGTGGTGCCGCGATAAGACCTCTTTTCCCAACCGTGTAGTGGGACAGCTCCTGTTCTTCGTTCGCGAGCATTGTGTGGATCGAAAACAACACTTTTTCATGACAAAACACGTGAGGACGCTACAGGGACTGCGAGTCGTAGGCCTCGCGACGGGACTCTTTCGGCCTCGCGCTGCTGTTCGATTCATCCAGAGACATCGGTGGGAGGGTACCCAGGGTGAGACATTCTGTCCTTGCAGGACTAGGCGGAAAAGCATGTGTATATGAATATATATATATATATGCTTCATTAATCATGCCTGGCCTCATGATGCTTCATGCTTCACGCCTTCCTGGTATTCACGTGATAGACATTCCGTGAGCGCCTGTTGATTCTATTAATAAGTCAATTTCGTCGCATTCGAGTCCCATTTCATTTTAATCGAGTCCTGAACTTGGTGCCTCCACCAAATGCATATCAATGCAGCCCATTTGGGTCAAACATGGACCGCCAGGCTTTCCTAAAGAGGTTAGCGCCCACCCCTAAGGGGCATGGAACTTCCAGCCTGGACTCTGATGAGCGTAAGAGATATATGAGAAGTCTGGCTCAGGGAACTTTAGTTGACACTGGAAAAGCTGATCCTGAGTCAGCTTCAAGTGGCCAAACTGTGGCCACAAATGTGTGCTTCGACTTGAAGAAGTTGAGAGAGTTCAAAGCTGTGACTTTGCAATGCGGCTGGAAGGGGGATGGAGGCGATGCACCTGCTCGCAAAAGACCTAACTATGACAATTCCAAACGGAGACTTTTGGCCAATCCAAAACATCGGGTGAAGTGACTTGTTGATTGGAAGGAAGTTGTGTTTTGTGAACTAAATGTTGTTTTTGGGAGGGTTGATTCGGCTTGATATAACTTTATATTCCAACTTGGTTTTGCTCAGGCAGTCATCGAATGGGGCAAGCAGAATTAGATTGGCCAGGCTGCTCCAGTCCGTCTGTCGTTGCCACCGTCGAACATGTTTCGAGCGATTCCAAGAAGATGAGAGTGTCATCCAGATCTTTATTGAAGTCTTCTGGTCCCTTCACAAGACTGAGCAAGACTCTTATGATCGGGACTTAGTTGTTTGGATCAACACTCGTGAGCCACTCCTTCACCTTCATCACTTTATGCACCCATGAAAAATTGAAACTCACTGAGATCCAGAGCGTTCTGGCCGGCATCCCGAAGGGCAACCGCAGCTGGTCCTTCCTTACGATGAAACAAGTCTTGTCCCCAAAGTGTCTAGCAGCTCTTTTGGGCATCCGGTCAGGGCGTCTGGCCAGAGCTGGGGCAGGATTGTTGGACAAGCGGTACCGTCGTTTTGGCGCCGCCACTTGAATTGTTGAAGCACAAGTTTATGTGTCGTGCTGTAGTTAGGCACCAGATCAATCCATTTTGACCTTGAGTCAAGGTTAACAAGAGAGCACCCATCAAGTTCATGAAGTTGGACCAGTACTTCCTCAAGTTGTACATCAATTCAGCTGGCATGCTGCCAGATCGGTGGCCTGTCTTCAAGCTTGGTTCGATAGGAACATGTCGTGGGTTGCTTCTTGGCAATCGTTTCCCTTTTTCCTAGGGTCTCGTGACATGCCCAGAATGAAGGTTTCAACGAGGTGCTCATGAACGAGGGACATCTTCTGAAGATGACTCCAAGCTGACTATTAAATTCACTTGTGGAAAGCATGTGGATGACGTTGGAGTCTAGACTGCACTGTATTGTCTTTGAGTATTGATTTACTATCAAGGCATATGGAGCTGGAAAAGGGTTGGTGTAGTTCATTGGTGGCTAAGACCAAGATGCCATGTGCCCTAATGAAGATGACGACGAGGACTGGGAGGTGCCGGAGGAGAACAAAGAATCAGACATGGAGTTGAAGCTTCATGTCTTGGGGTTCAAAGCGATCTGGAGCCAGAGCCATGGCATTGTGTCTGTTTGAATCATCATTCAAACCATGGTATGCCATGTGATTGAGTTTTGGAGGTTACTTTTCCATGATCGAGGTCACTTTTTTATGTTTGCCTAGGATAGTGGAGACCAATTTCCACCAGAATGTCGCCCAGCTCCCCACAAGACACCTCCCTCCGGGCAACTTGAAACTTCTTCATGTTGGCAGCAACCTCAACGTGTCGTAGCTTGTTTGCTAGAAGTGGCTGCTCAAAAGATGAAGGCTACAAAGCGACAAAGGGTCCAGCCTCCACGTCTAAGGTACTGCCACTTTGTCAGGAGGTTCAAGCAGAAGTGGGCAAACTTGCTCAGGTTTTCAAACCCCACTGGCTTTCCAGCCTGTGATGATTGCACATGCTACAAGACAGCGTTTGAAGAAAATTCAGCCACTTTGTTGAAAATCAAGCAAATGTTCAAGAGATTCAGTTTTCAGAAATGGTAAGGTAAGGCCCAATTCAGGTAAGGTAATGCTCTTCCTTGCGCTGTCACTGTCAGGACCCGGTTGACAGGTTTGAAATTGCCAAACAATATCGGGATCACCTGGCGGCAGTAGCAGCAGATCGTCGACTAGAAAGCTTTTTGCAGGCATCATGGTGCATTTCTTCAAGACCAATGCAAGACCAATGCATGCGTTGAATTCCTGCTTTGTCCTTGCACCACTGTTTATGTTCAGGCGATGGATCCCTGTCACAGCGGCGACACGATCCTCATAACAACCGATTCTTGTCAGAAGGGTGCTGCCACTTTGCAGTAGGAGGGTTGCAAAGTTGTGGGTGGTTTGGTTTCACCTCAGGATGGAATGGATCAGTCCAAATGGGCTTTACCCCGACTTCGCCACGGAGTATTGACAAAGTCCATGCAGAAATTAGACCGACCTCGAGTAAAGATACAGGGCGTTTGGTGCCACCAGGTGGCCCTGTTTCTGCATGTTGTGGAGGTGCGACAACCAAGTGACGGTTCGATGGTGGCTGAGTCACTGGCCAAGTCGCTAGAATATGTTCAAACCATCTTGAAAGACAAGATGCCGCGCAAAGTTCTGCTCATTGTAGCTAGGTGAATTCAAAGACATTTTGTTTTACGGTTTGTTGTGCTACTAGATGGTTTCTTGTGAGGCTTCGCCCAGGTTCCTCTGATCGTAACACATCCCAGGCAGACAACTGTGTCCGCGAAAACAAGAACTCAACGATCATCAAGCTCTTATCATGGATGCTGTTGCAGAAAGGTCTTGAACTGACTGGGATATTGTTCCATCGAGTTGGACATACTCATGGGACACTTGGTTCCTTGTTTTAACGATGGATTTACGCTGTATGAAATTCACAACCTTCTTTTGGAATACCTCCTCTCACTTCTGCCTCAGACCAAATATTCGGCCTTCTGTCAAGATCAATGAGATGGGTCGACTGCCTAGCGGATCCACAAGATATAGTAGCGAACCTTGGAAGTCATGTTCATTAGTGAGTGTTGTCATGTTCCTGGGCTGGTGGGTGCACAGTGTACTAAGGAAGTTGCGTTATTTGTGTGGCAAGATCAATATACAGGCTTGGCTTGGGAACGCAGAGGTGGTTGTTGAGGAGCTGACGACCACAAGACCATGGAAAACATGGTTGCTTGCTCTCACAAATTGTATTGTAAGTTCCACCATTCAGAGCCTTTGCGCCATGATGTTTTTGAGGTTGGAACGTGCGCCCGTGACCTTCAGCGGGGCATTGAAAGACGATAGTTCTGGGGCCCACGCATTTCTTTTCATGCGTCGCAAAGGCCTACAGCAATCTCTGTGTCAATCTCTGCCATGTGCATGAAGACTTACATGTTGTGTGCAAGCTTTTTGGCCAGACATCCCTGCGGCCACCATGACCATTGTCACGCACGGCCCTGGAAGACATCACTGGGCTGAATCTCCAAACGATGTTGTATGTTGTGTGAAGCGATATGCTGCAGATGATTCTTTGAGTCAGGAACTTCTTAGCTGCTGTAATGTTGCTGTGTTACAACTCTTGGATCATCTCAAGAGCACCCTTGCCAGGACCCAGTGGTGGTGTTTGCGTGTGAGTTCATGGACTTGCTGGGGGATATCCCTGAGGAGGCAAGGCCCTTGAAAGTTTTCGACAAAGAACGAAGACAGAAACTTATGCAATTAGCTGCTCTTCTCCTCCAAACGGAAGACAATGAGAGCACGGAGCGTACTGTGAAGTATTTGATGGATTTGTGTAATGTGGACAAAGTTCCGGATCCGGTTCCACCCTTGCCTTGGCTTTCTGTAAGGAGTCAAGGTGAATTTGATGCCCTTATAAAGTTCGACCCAGGGCAGCCTCTCATGGGGAAGGTCATTCCTCAAATGTATTTCACTGCACGCATGCAGAAACGCAGATAAACACGTCGTAGTATGCTTGAATTGCTGAAGGTTGGATGTGTTTTGTTACTTTGCGCGCTTACTTTGTTGAACCTTGGAATCGCAGCAGTTTTGAAGCAGGGTAGGTCTTGTAGCAACTGCTCCAACATGGACAGGACAGATCTCCAAGAGTTAGGTGCTGCAAGGTTTTGGTTAGTTTGTGGACACGGCTCTTGCTGCAGGAGACTACGTAGCGTGAAGCGTTCACTTAGTGCGGACTTTGAACTTGGTACCCCAGAGCCTTGCTGCAGCAAACGGCATCACTTTGAGGCAGGTGTATGTCTCCAATCACACCCTTCACACATCACTTTCTCTCAAGGTTGTGATCGCTCACAACGTTGACACGTCAACAAAC